ATTCTCCCCTCAGGATCTTGGGCACACACGCACACGTGCCTGGCATGAGTTTAAGCCACTGGGTCCGGGACTCGAACTGCGGTCAACTACATGGGAGTCCAGCGACACAGCCATTATGCTAACTGCTGGTCCCAAGAGCTAATTTTTTTTAAGAATTATTTTATTTTAATTTATTTATTTATTTATTTATTTTAATTTGACCAGAGATTTTACCAGAAGCGACAGAGGAGGTGAGAAAGCAAGCCACCAGGTCCAGGACTCAAACTGTCAGTCATGTGGAAGTCCAGTACCCTTAACCACCATGCCACCTGCTGGCCCCCAGCGAGGAGCTGATTTCTTACAGAGTCTCACCATGTCCAGTACTCCGGCCCCAGCCTGCTCAGCTGTGTGAGCCTGGTCTACTTAGTTGGGCCAGGAGCTGAAACGAGGCCTCTCACTGGCCCCAGCCTCTGAGCAGCAGGGTCTCAGCAGTGCGAGCCACCATGGCTGAGCCCCAGAGTTTCAGTTTTGTGAGATGAAAACGTTCTGAAGGTCGGTTGCACGACAATGTGACTATACTTCACACAGCCCAAGTACACACTAACAAATATCTAACTATACACTTAGGTATTCAAGCCGTCAGGTCCGGGACTCAGACTGCATCCGGCCATGTGGGAGTCTAGTGCACCACGTCACCTTCTGGCTCCCACAGCCCCTGCTTTTTTTTTTTTTTTTTTAGAAGTTTTTGCCAAAGGGCACATGCTCGTTGGACAGAGAGAGAGAGAGACATGGTGAGAGGGAAAATGATAAATCACCCTCCAGGGGGGATGGTCATGCCATAATCTCATCTCTTCCCTTCTCCTCTGGGGATCTTGGGCACACATGCACAAGTAATTTTTTTTTTTTTTTGGAGAGGTTTTCACTATAGGGCGCGTGCGCTCACCAGACAGACAGAGAGAGACGTAGAGACAGCCCCTGGGGGATGGTCACACCGCAATCCCTTCTCCTCCATTCTCCTCTCGGGATCTTGGGCACTCACGCACACGCGCCCGGGGTGTTTTAAGCCACTGTGTCCGGGACGCGAACCGCGGTCGACTACGTGGGAGTCCAGCGACATAGCCATTACGCTAACTGCTGGTCCCCCATGTACAAGTAATTTTTAAGCCACCAGGTTTAGGACTCAACGATTGGGCCAGCAGGTGGCATGGATGTTGAGGCACTGGATTCCATATGGCAGACTGGTTTGAGTTCCAGAACCGACAGCTTGAGAATCAGGCCTAAAACACCAAGCGGAGACTGGAGGAGAGAGCATTGCAGTGTGGCCGCTCTCTGTGGGGTGATTTGTCTCTTTCCTTCTCTCTCTCTCCCTGTCTCTCTTTGACAAGTGCACACACCCTATAACAAACGTTAAAAAGAGAAAATAAGGGAACCAAGCAGTTAGCGTAATGGCTATGTCGCTGGACTCCCACGTAGTCGATCACGGTTCACGTCCTGGACCCGGTGGCTTAAAACTCACGCCGGGCGCGTGTGCGTGCATGCCCAAGATCCCGAGAGGAGAATGGAGGAGAAGGGATTGCGGTGTGACCATCCCCCCTGGGGGTGATTTCTCGCTTTCTGTCTCTCTGTCTCTCTCTCTGTCTGGCGAGCGCACGCATCCTATAGCAAAAACCTCTCCAAAAAAAAAGGAGAAAATAAAATTTAAAAAAGATAAGCCCAGGACAGCGGATGGTGTAAAGGTTACGTCGCTAGACTCCCGTGTAGTCGGCTACGGTTCTAGTCCTGGACTCAGTGGCTTAAAACTCACACTGGGTCCATGTGCATGGGTGCCCCAATCCTGAGAGGAGAAGGGATTGTGGTGTGGCCATCCCCCTGGGGAGTGATTTCTCACTTTCTCTGTCTCTGTCTCTCCAATGAACGCACATGCCCTATAGCAAAAATCTCTCTAAAAAGAAAAAGAAGCCCATCACCTCACTCAGTTCTGGCTGTTGAGGCATAAGGGCAAGCCTGCTAGGGGATGAGGCTTCCGGGAAGACCAGGGGCGTCCTCCTCCAGCTTTGGAGGTGTGTGACGACACAGTGCTGGGCTAGGTCACCGGCAGGCAAACTCCGCCATGCCGAGGATGGCAGAGCAGAGGGTCGGTTCTCGACGACTCACTGACTTGCTGAGTCAATGACCCCAGCATCCTCTGCTCCATTCCTGGCTCTGCTGTGTCACGTTACCCTCTTCTCACTCCGCCCGCTTCCCGGCCTTTGCATGAGTTCCCTCTGCCTGGACTGCCCCCTCGTCTCCTCCCCAGACACCTGTCTGGCTCTCTCCCTCACCTTCTTCAGGCCTTCACTCAAATGTCACCTTACTGAGGACTCGTAACCCACCCTATATGAAGCCGCATCCACTTGGCACCACCCCTCCAACCCCTGACCTCGGCCTCACATCGTGTTTCCCCGCAGTACCTGTGGCCCTGTGGCATCTGCCGTGGGATATCTGTTCACTATCCGTGTTCCCTACTGAAACGCAACCGCCACGAGAACAGGGCATTCCGCCTATAAGGATACAGGTGTCTGGAACTGGGCTTGATGCCTAGTACGTGATCAATGAATCGATAAATATTGGTTCGCTGGACGGTGACTGGTTTGGGGTCATTGGGTTGGGCTTTCTGTTATTCGGCTAAAAGCAAACGGTGCCCGGCATTCTGCTACTGTGAGTCCCCACCCCACCTCTCTGTTCCTTTGGGTTCTGGTCTTGCTCCCAAATGACACTCGCTCCAGAGTGAGCTTTAGCCCCTACACCTGGCTCCCCAACATTGTCATCTGTAGCCACCCACCCCAGGATCCAGAAACCCCAGGTGAAGTTAGGCCTGACCTCCCCAGGCCTAGGAGAAGAAGTAGCCCACATCGGGGCTGGGACTTTGGAAAAAAGAAATGCAAACCGCTCGGCATTGTGGGATGCGCTTCATTCAGCTCTTTCAGCTCTGGTTACAGCTAGGAGACTGAGCCCAGGCAGAAGAGGGACTCATCCCTGCTGCACCCCGCCCACCCTGGCCATGGGAAGGGGTGTCCTGGATCCTCAAGTCCCACTTGGCTGCCCAGAGCTCTGCTAGACCTTGGAGAGGAGTTGCTCCCCAGCGTTTGGGAGCAGACACGCAGCCCCAGCCCGGAGCAGCCTGGTGTTGGGAAACCCCTAGCTGGAGGAAGGAGGCTGGTCTTGGACCTGGAGGAGCCTGTGTAGCCACAGGGTGTGTTCGCTCTGGGGAGGAACAGCCCTGGTCGGAGAGGAGAGAGAGCTCTGGCCTGGAGGGTCTCCATCTGGAGGGCAAAAGGCCAGGGGTCAGCCCGGGTGCGTGGCTTGTGGCTGGATGAGAGGGCGGGGGGCACGCCCTAGGCCGATGGGGGCGCTGGGAGGAAAGGAGGCTTAGCCTTGGGGAGCTCTGAGTCTGCGGCAGAAGGCCTCACCTTTGGGAAGCCCTGATCTGAGGAAGGGGGCTCACCCTGGGTCCTGCCCTCTCCCCAGAAGCCCCTCCAGGGTCCAGAACTTCCCCAGGGAGGGGCGCCAGGGCGCCGTCTAGCGACCGGCGGAACAAACAGGAGTAGGGGGCCTTCGGGGCGAGGGTGGTCGAAGGCGGGAGTCCTCAGGACAGCGCTGCGGTCACCAGGGCCACCACCAGCACCGGCAAGGCGAGGTGCAGGCCAGGTGCGGCGTCGGAGCGGCACTGGGACTCCAGGACGGCGCGGCGGCGGGGGCTGCAGTCAGGGGGGGGGGGCCGCCGGGGGGC